CACCAAGTTTCTCTTCGTATCTACAATGCTCCTTCCTTGACCCGGGTTCAAATTCTCCCGGGTATGCTGACTCGGCATTGGAGTGGCACTGGATAATGTCTCTGGTGAAATACACCCACGAAATCTAGTTCTCTTCTCAATTAGTCGGGGCCACGCAATAATTAACGGTCCATTTTATCATGTATAAATATTGTTGGCTTAAATGGTAAACAGGCAGGCCTAATCAAGACTGACTCTGGGTTGGAGTTGTGCACCGATGTACGCATTACACAAGTTTGCATGGGAGATAAGGGCGATGCAAGGATTACGGAGGAACCAGAAAGTGCAGTCCAATGAGCGTCGATGGAGCAAATCGACATTAAGTACAGATTCCATCGCATGCGCATACTTTTATGGCCCAAATGTGTTTTCTAAATTAAGGAGAATTGAACAGAAGATTGACTAAAGTGCTAATGTCAATGCGAGAGTAAGTTCTTCTGTGCAAGCCGCAAAATGTGAGTTCCACGGTGGTTTTTCAGGGCGCCGTTCTAGTCCTGGATGCTTTTGTCTGGTTTTGTCAGGGCGATTTTAGTGCAAAGTTAAAATGCGTCTAGTTTAAAGACAAGTGCAAGTTTGCCTTGTAGGCAAATCTTGCCATAAGATTAGAGCAGGCCTTGTAGCACACTCAGGCTAGGCAGCACGTGTTTGATTTCGCCCGAGCTAAGCGAGATCGGGAAGCCGTTTTTATCCCAGCTTACAGAAGCCAAAGTGATCAGATCTGTCTAATTACAACCGCGGCTGGTGTCTCTATCATCATGGCGGCAGAGTTTATGGATAGGGGGTTAGAACAATGGGCTGAACTATGAGATGAGGATGTTCTCGGTGTAATTGTTGAAATAGTGACTGAATCTGTGTGCATTTGCATGCGGCTTTGATAACATGGACACAATGATGGACTTTAACTCATCAGGTAGCACTATGAGGCTGTTTGGGGGCATTATATGAAGAGTGGCCCAAAGCAAATGGAGCTGAAGCATGAAAATACGAATTTAGTGGTAGGTAAGAGTACGGATGAATTTAATTTGTCATCTTTAAATATCATGTTTAAGGGTCGGTTTGTGATTGTTAATTTACCAGATTTTTTCTACTCTTCATTCTACTTAGGGCGAAACCTCACTTTGGCCGGCGGTATGACCATGCCTAGCCCCCTGGCGACGGAGGCAGGAGAGTAACTTTCTTGGTTATCTGGACGGCTTTGTGATTCCGGAGGCTTTAGAGTTGTCTCGAGGGCCTTGTTCACACTTGGCTCAATTGGTTTTGGGGTTGGTGAAGCGTGACTACCGGTCTCTGTGTTAGGGTCCATCCTGCTGGGCATACCGGCTGAGAAAATTATATGACAAGAGGGAACCGTTTATGATGGGCATAACTAGAAGAGAGTTGGAAAATAAAGGATAGAATTAGAATACAAAGTCTACACGAAAGGCCATGGCGAAGGAGATAGTCAGACATGTAATCATGCACCCACATTACGAGGCATCTCTGTAAATACGTTAATAGGTTTGTCTAATTCATTATAATTATTAGAAGTATGATAGTGTAGTTTTTCACAAAATGGAACGTGTAGGTGTCATTATGCCATTGAATTTCGATTTTCCCTATCCTTATCGGACTGTAATTTCAACCTCGCCCTCACAGCCACGAGTGTCAATGGATTTCACGGGTCAGATGCGACAGTCAAAGCAAGCCAGGTCTCCCCCATAGTATTGTGGATGTGAAACAATCATGCTGTAGGAGGGCGCATATTTTTCGGTGTCTTGTGGAACGTAAAGAAATTCGCATAAAGTATAGTAAGACGTCCTCAACACCTTCTTTTAACACAAATGTTGCCATAAGTAATCTGGCCTGACAGTTATCTATTCGACATTCTCTAACCTTTACATGATCTGGAAAATCCGGACTAGGGAACGGAGCTCATCAGCGGCACAAAGGCATTACTCTGGAATCATATTCTTCAAAAGTAAGCAGAATCCCAAACAGTGGTGCTTAAAGTCCTTTTCGGTAGGACTTGAAGAAAATTACTTCTGCAACAACCTATGAACATTCTAATCGCCAGACTTCAAGTTTAGGCGCAAATAGCTCATACATTTTGCGCAGGAGGCCTCTTCTTACTCTCCACAGCCTGGGCTGGTATCATCTGCAGACAAGCCTTAAGGGGTCCACATGCAAGATCGGACTCGATGTGGAACTAGCCGGAAAAGTAGTGCTTGCCTTGGTCTTATTCACAAAGTGGATTGAGGAACGAGCAAGGAAATCTATGCAAATGTAGCTGTTTCGAATTTGTTAGCTTATCCTCAACCAGTTGATGGGTTGATTACTTACCCACCATTGCATTCATATTTCCTTTCATTCATTCACACTTACCCCTTTGTCCTTCTCTGGTAGATACTTAGTCGCTGACGTGGCGCCAAAGTAAATCTCCCTCTCTCTGAATATGTTGCCAAACCTTCGCTTACTAACCGTTTGTTTCAGTAATTCAGTCCTCCATAATATTTTCACCATTTCACTATAGATAATTAATTTAATCACAGCCAATAAGATCCGCCCCCTCGACCTTAACGCCGCATCTCCACACTTACTCAATCACACAAACATTCGCTTACTCAAACATTCACTCTCTTGCTAATCATTTACTCACTTTTTTATTTAAGAGCTAAATTACTCCATCAATTAGTCACTCAATAAACCACTAACTTATTCCGACAATCAATCACTCACTCATTCGAATAATCTCCGACTCACCCCTTCATTCATTCGCACAATCATTCGCTTACTCATTCTTCGGTGCTTCCAGTCGCGTAATCACATTTACTCATTCAGCAAGTTATTAATTCATTTGGTTATTTACTCTTTTACAAAATAAATGGCTGTACGATTCACTAATTCACCAACTAACTTATATATTCAATCCTTTATTCAACCAATAATTCACTAACCACCTCAATATTTCATTCAAATACTCACTCTCACTATCCTATTCCCTCGCTTTCTCAATCACTCACTCACGGCTTCACTCACTTACCCACTTATTACTCTTTCATCTTTACTTTCTAATTCATTTATTTATTATATCATCCATTCATTC